CCCCAGCCAGCATGCTGTTAGAAGCAGGGTTTTTGCATGCTGGCTGGGGGATTCTGGGAGTTGAAGTCCACCCACCTTAAAGTGGCCAAGGTTGAGAAACCCTGGCTTAGAGGAAGGTTGCTGATCCTTGGAGTCAGCCCTTCTGGAAAGAGAGACCCTCCCGTGTCCTGCTGGGTGGAGACGAAAAAAGGAAGCGACGTTGGTAGGCATGGACGCCTTCTTTCCAAAAAGAGGCTCCCCCGTGCCCTTCCCAGATCAGACAATGATCCACAGGAGATCACAAAGGAAGTGTTGGAGCAGACTAAGAGGAGAGGCCGCTCTGGCCCCCTCCTCCCCGCCTGCGGGGGGCTCCCCCTTCCTGTGCGCTCCCCTCCCCTGGAGCCTTCTAATGAAGGGCTGGCACGCAATTCTCATTGCCCGTCCTGCCTCTGCTTCCGGGGCTACGCATATTTGCAGGCGTGGGTGTTGGATCGCACATGGATCTCCTGGGCCGCTGCCAGCGTTTACGCATCCAGCGCTGGAAGAGCCGGTTCAGAAGGGCCCGGATGCCAAGAGGCGCTCGCCAGCCGAGGCAGCCTGTTCTGGTGCCCTGATCTGCAGGACGTGGCCCGCGCCGCCATCCGCAGCTTCCCAGAACTTCCAGGACTCCCTCAAAGGGATCCCGGGGGCTGTGGCTGCCTTGCCCCCCCGCTTGCTTCCCCCTCTTTGCATCCCCCTTTGCACCGTCGGAACCCCGCTCCTCTGACGCGCAGCCAGATGGGCGGTTTCTGCAAGATCAGGAAAAGCAAAGGAAGCAATACGAGGATGCACACGATGTGCCTGGCGGCAAGCGGGAAGCCTTTGGCAACCTCGGCAAGACGCCGTTGGGAGCCGAAGAAAAAGCAGCCTTCGGAACTGGAATCTGCCCGATGTAGTCCTGCCCGTCCCGGGGTGGGACTGTCGCAGCGGCTGTCGCTCACGAGCCAAGCAATCAATAAGAAATAAATACCTAAACAGAACTATTAAAGTCGTTCCGGAATGAGAGAGCCTGTGGGGGCCTCGGTTCAGGTATTGGACTGGTACAGATTCTAGTCCACTCTGAGTCTTGCAGCACTGGGCCACTCACTCTCCCAGCTCAGCCCACCCCACAGGGCTGTAGTGGAGGGGGAAAATAGATCTTGTGCCGCACTTAGATGCGGTGTAAGTGCATACCAGGTAAAATTACTCAGTACCTGTGGATGTCTTTCTCCACGCTTGCCCTCCCAGGTAGAGGGTCTGTAAGGGCTTCCATCTCTTATTTGTTCCTTTCTCTCTTTTTACACTGGAAGGCCAGGCTCCAGATCCCGCCACCCACCCACTAGCTGTGTTCACACAATCTGCTTCGCCAGATCGACGGGGGAAAAAAGAAGAACAGCCGGTGCCTCAGATGGCATCCGCCAGCACTCTGACTTGGCCTGTCAGGTGCTTGTATGGTTCTGGGCATACTACAATCCTAGAAAATGGGTTAATTCAGTAACCAGCTTAAGGGTCATGTGAACAGAGCCAACCTGTGAATCCTATTCTCCCAGGAGGGGGAAGAACCGTGAAACTCACCAACCTGCTTGGAGGAAGCCAAACCACTTAAGGGAGATTAAGAAAAGAAATGCTGAGCTGCCCCCCCCTCCTGGGGTGGGTGGGGGAAGGCTCCTGGCATTTGCCAACGGAGAGGCCGAGGGCATGTGCGCAATGCTAACTGAAGCCAGCCAGATTTGGCCTGGCAAAACTCCTCCATCCATTTTTGCCTATTGCATCAGAAAACCTGCCCATGATGCTTGCCAGCCAGAAGGTGCAGGGAAGGGAATGCGCGGTGCCTTGGAGGACAAAGGCCAGAGCGACACGGGGTGCCCCCCACCCCAGTTGTACATCACGAGACCCAAGGGGCTGGGTGTGCCCCACACACATCTACCTGGGCAGCACTCTTCGTGTTCCATTGCCCAATCCAACCCCAAGGCAAAGGCCGATGCCAAATACAGAGCAAAGCTGGGGGTGGCCCCGACGCTTCAGATGCTCCAGCAATAGATCAAGAGCTGCTGGCTTCATCGACGACGTCCTGACAGAGCTTGAAATGAGGTCAGCCAGGAAAAATGGTCTCTCTCTTTCTCTCCCCGAACCCACCGGCGTTCTGTCCAGGGAGCCACAGGCTTGGGCTGTTATCGCCTACTCTCATGCGCTGCCCAGAGTCCATTTGGATGGGGGCAGTTTGTAAATATCCCTAAATCAATACCAAACAACCCTTGAAAAAACAAGTCACCAAAATGCTCCAGCTGTGCTCCGGGAGCAAGCTATGCTCAAACCAACAAAGAGCATTAAGGCCTGATTGGGACTGCCTGGTTCACACGGCTGAGTTCTCACGACACGCTGCTCTGGCTAAACACGTCGAGCTGGTTGTGTGAATGCAGCCACTCGTTGCTTCCTCAAAGGCAGAAGGACAAGAGAGAGAAAAGAGGACGCTAGAAGAGGGGTCTCCTGCTGAACAATGAAAACACCAGTTGAGCTACTTCTTCTAAGGCCCAGTTGCTCGGCGCGTGCTCCTGTCCATCCCAAATCAGCTTCTCTGGGCTGCTAATATTTTAGTTCAGTGCCCAAGCACGGAAGCCAGACCAGCCCCAACGTTTGGCTTCCACCTAAAACTTGAGCTAACATTTTGCATCAGATTAGCTCCACCAGAATGGGCTCAGTATCCTGTAGGCAGGAAGGGGGTCCATAATGGGGCTAGTCTGTCCTGCTCTCCAAAGGCATCTGCTGGGACAGTTGAGAAGATGCTCTTGCAAGCATCTCAGCCCAGACAGGAGCAACCCCAAACAAGCTGAACAGAAGTAGGAAAACTCTGCCCCTTGATGACCAAATCAAGGACTGAAGAGGTGCAAAATGGTACTGAATCATCTGGCTTTTGTTTCCCCAAATAGGATTGCTAAGTAACAGAGGAGGAGGAGGAACCACGGTCCTTCTTTGGTGGATCATCCCTGGTGATCCAAGGATGGAGGTACGGGGGGCCCAGAGGTGGGGGAAGCTGCCAGACCCTCTTAGGCTGGTGTCTGCCTTGAAAAAGCAACCCTTATATGGATCTTCTTTGGGGCTGGCTATGGTTACCCCAGTATTAGCAATACATTAGTGTACTTCAAGTGCTTCACCGGCAGAAGATTGTCCAAGGCCCTCTCGCCACCCTGTGGCCAAAGGGAGACATTTTATAAAGATTTGTGCACAAGGCCGGGCAACAGGCAGGGGCTTGGGTGCTTGACCACGGACACCGAGCCTCCCGACCAGCTGATGGAATGATCTCCCCTGCCGATCCACGGGAAAAGGCCACGGGGGTGGCACCACAGTGGAAAATCTGGTGCTGGGGCAGGAGCCCAAAAGACGGGAGCAGAACTCTCCTTGGACTGCCTCCTAGACCAGTGTTTCTCAACCTCGGCTGCTTTAAGCTGTGTGGACTTCAACTCCCAGAATTCCCCTGGCTGGGGAATTCTGGGAGTTGAAGTCCACA